CGTGGTAAGTTCCATTTGTGTTAAATAGTACTGAAAGATGTAGTTTATGCCTTCATCTGACTAATACTTTATAAATTCTTTCTTGAATTTTCGCATCCAGGAAAACTCAAAGACAATATGGTTTGGTAGAGATGCACTTGGAAGGCGAAGTCTTCTTGTTCATTGGCCTAGTATAAAAGACTTGCGGTTCATGCTTTCTTCTGTTTCACCACCTTCTGCCATTGATGAACTCAACTTCTGGGAAGAGCTACCATGTGGGGTCTACAGCCTGGCCATGAGTGCTTCTAAAATGGATGGAAATCTGGTGGGTGAAGTGAAAAGACATAATTGGACTGATCCCTTGCTGGAAGAACTGATTGAATGGGAGAGAACTTTTTTTGAACCCAAACCTGAAGATTTAACAAAAATGTTTTCTAGTGAACGAGGTAAAGTGTTTTTTTTTTCTTTTTTAAAAAAAAAAATGCTTCCAAACTTGAGTCGGTATCATTGCAACAGGGCATCTGCATCAGAAAGTTCTTGCTGCACTTACAGAATCTGTGAGGCGACGAACAATATTTTCAGAAATTCATCTGGTTTGTCTATGAATCTTTTTTTTTTTTTTTTTTTTTTTTTTTTTTTTTAAATTGTTATTATTGTATTTAATATTCTGGCTCTTTATGTTATTATTATGTTTTTTCAATTTGCTTTTGATTTGCAGGGTAATTCACCAGTTGCTGTGCTTTTTTCTGGTGGATTAGATTCTATGATACTTGCAGCTTTATTGGATCAGTGCCTGGATTCAAAATGTAGGTGTGATTAGCTTTATGTTCAGTATAATAAGAACTGGTTTAGGGATTTTCTTTTTATTTTTTATTCACCATGCTTGATATCTTATCATACCTCTTTTGGCAGTTGAAATTGATCTGTTGAATGTAAGTTTTGATGGTGAATTAGCTCCTGATAGAATCTCTGCTATGGCTGGTGTGAAAGAGCTGAGAAAAATCGCCCCTTTGAGAAGGTAATTGGTGCTTTGACTTTTTTTTTCTATTGCCCTCTGACTTTGACTTTCTTGTAGTTCTTTCATAATACAAACAGCTTTTGAATGCAGATGGAATCTAGTAGAGATAGATGCAGAATTGTCGAAATTGACCACGGAGACAAAACGTGTCTTGTCACTTATTTATCCTTCAAATACATACATGGTACATTGATCTGTTAATTGCACACTTTTTTTAGTTTAATATTATTGTAAGGTTTCATGAAAGTGTTAAACTTATTTTTGGTGTTACAGGACCTTAATATTGGGATTGCCTTGTGGTTGGCAGCTGGTGGTGATGGGTGTGTGAGTGAAGAAATAAATGGAAATAATAATTCAAAGGTTAAGTACAAGTCTGATTCCAGGATCCTATTGGTTGGTTCTGGTGCAGATGAGCAATGTGGTGGCTATGGGCGCCATAGAACTAAGTTCAGAGAAAGCAGGTTACTTCCTATCAGTCAGTATCTCATACTGTAAAACAATCAAAGATAAAATAGTCAAGTAAGTTTTGATGATTATCTGTGGTGATGTGTTTAGTTGGGGTGGACTAAATGAGGAAATGAAGTTAGATATGCAGAGAATATGGAAGAGAAACCTAGGTAGAGATGATAGATGCATTGCTGATAATGGCAAAGAGGTACCACTTGCTTCTTTGTTAAGTCGTTAAAATCAGTTCTTTATGTATTAAGTCAAAAAGAAACACATTTACTTGAACTGAATTTGAATGGACATGTTTGGTTTGTTGACTTCAGGCTAGGTTTCCTTTTCTGGATGAAAATGTAATAAGGATACTGCTTGATATTCCACTATGGGAGATTGCAGACCCTGGCCAACCAAGTGGAGTTGGTGATAAGAAGATCTTGAGAGAGGTATAATAAGTGTTTACTTTTGTTTTTCCCATTTAATTAGATTTTATGGAATCTATTATGTGTGTATTTTCATTTAAAAATGCAAATATGGAGTCTATATGTGTTATATTTTTCATTAAACCATTAACTTGTTTGTTTGTTTTGTTTCTTGAAGGTTGCAAGAATGCTTCATTTGAATACAGCAGCTGTTCTACCTAAAAGAGCTATTCAGGTAGGTTGTGTTGTGTTTGACAGATTAGCTGAAAAGCTAGCTTATAAGCTGCTTTAGTGGTCTCACAAAATACACACTTTGATGATAAAGATATTGTGTTTACTTTATATAGTTTGGGTCGAGAATTGCACGAGAATCGAACCGCAAGAATTATGGAAGTAATCGTGCTGCAAATCAAGCTTCAGCTGGAAGTGCATCCATTCAACCCATCTGATGTTTGTGGTTCTTTAATATTATTAAACATGATATAATAGGGCCATAGAGTTGAATGCATTATGCATTTTGGAGGTTTGAAGATTCAAAACATTTTGTATACCTGTATAATTTCTTCCATCCTATCTCATACATTATTAATATTTTTCAGCAAAGCTTGAATCGAGTTTGATTTATTGATTTTAGTTTTGTATATTTTGGTTATATGAGTCTGGAACTCGAGTGTGAATCATTCTCAAACTGAGTCTAGTACTCTAGTCTAGCTCGAATCAATTTGTTTGCAGCCCTCTCATAGTATCTATGGTAGTTGTTAGGTTTGTGACTTGCAAATCACTTTTATTGTTATTTTGTGAATTCACTTATGCACACCAGATGGAGTTTCCAAGATTACATTGCTCTTGAGGTTTAAGAACATGGGGTGGTTGTGCTTTATGTGGGCGTGTAAATAAGGAAGTTTGGTGAGAGGGTACATAGATCTTGATTAGTTTTGGTCTATAGCTAATCGAGATTCAAGCATTGTTGAAACAAGGGATTTGGATTCCACTTGTCATAGAAAGGCCGACAAGTGCAGATAGGACACGGTGTTTAAGCAAAACACGAAGAGAATCTTGTTTTATGATGGGGTTGTATATATATATATATATATATATATATATATATATATATATATATATATATATATATATATATATATATATATATATTATCACTTTTGGATGGGGTTATTTATGAGGTTGCCCAAGAAGAGAGTGCGATTGGTTTATGACAAAGGCTTGAGTCATTATATATGATGAAATCTTTAACAATCGGCTTTTATTAAAGCAACATTTGTTTTCTTTTGGCATGAAAGAAGGGTCGGTGTTGAAAGAACACATTGACGAGCTCAATTTGATATTGAGGGACTTGAAGAAAGTCAAAGTCAAGATTGAGGATGAGAATGTGACATTAATTCTTTTGGTTTCTTTGTCAGCATCATATGAAAAGATGTTAATTCGTTTGTTGGTCGAAATCCAATAACTTTGGAGGAAGTTTGGTCAAGTTTGCACTTTAGGGAGCTAAGCTCATGGTATCCAAGAGTGCTCCATTGTCTCAACCAAGTGGGGATGAATGTTTCGAGTCTTGTCATATATTTGTCCGAAAAGAAGGAACGGAAGGTCAATATCTCATGGTAAAAGGCGAAACATGTGATATGTTTTTCCTTTTTAAGGAAACGACCGAAATGTCATTAGAATTACTCGTAAGGAGCTAGGAATACCAAAAAAAGACAAGAAAAAAATAATACAAAGAGAAAGAAATTAAAAATGTGTTGGGCATTTAGAAATCAAGTAATTGCAGTATAATTTGACCAACTAAAAATACCTAGGTTCTTTTTCCTTGCGTCGTTCTATAAATGAGATAGGATTTGAAATTCTCCGGCCAAAGATGCATGGTTCTTATTGTCTAAGGTTGGTGGGTATACCCTAAACCGCACACTGTGGTGGCCAATGTGGCGCCGCAGTGTGCAATGCACACAAACCCCCCAATTGCCACTGCGGTATGGCCACCTCACCACAAGCCCTTACCGCACCTCCTTTGTTCCGTTTTGTGTCCGTTGACCGGTTGTGACCAATTAAAAAAAAAGTGGAGTAAAGATGTGGTATAACACCCATCAAATTTGTGGAGTGAGAAAAAAATGACATGATGATGATGGGACACTGTAATAATGTGGTAACTGTGGCATGACACTCTATGGCCTAATGTGTGGACTTTTGGGTTCCAAAACTTTTATATGACCCAAGGGACTACCGCCATAATTGTTTCGTGAGTTTTGGACAATTTTTTTTTGTTGCCATTAATCCATGATTTGCAATTAAGTATGGCGAAACTAGTCATGGGAAGAACAAGTGTCTAAAGAACAAGCGAATAAGAACTCCTACGGAAGTCGTATGACCCATTTCGTCCCTACAGACATGAAATGATTATATTGTCCTTTTCGATTTCATTTTCACATAATTTTCATGTTTATTCTTGGTTTTCTTTATTCTTTTATTGAAATAAATGTAAACAACCCTTTCTCTCCTTTATTTCTCTTTCAAGAACTTCTCGGCGACCCTCGACATCTCACCACCACCGACATCGAAAATCACTGACTACCACTGCTAACTATCGACTACCGTCAGAAATCACCACTTCTCTCTCTCTCTCTCTCTCTCTCTCTCTCTCTCTCTCTTGGTTGGGAAGGTTATAGTAGTCAAAGCCGTTGGAATTTTTAGTTTATACATTGGAAAAATCCGTTTTGTTATTAATATACTAGGAAAGGGGCAAAAGAATAACCGAAAGAAATGAAATCTATTAGTTATTCGTGTTACCTCTCTCTCTTACCTATCTTATTTCTCAATTTCGGCACCACTGCTTACGATAGCACCTCCTAAATCATGTAATCAACACTAAACTTCGAGGAAAATCAATCATGAAACAAACGTTTTATTGGTACTATTATCATTGGATGATAATAGTAAAGTCCAAATTTTGGATGATAATAGTACTGATAAATATAAATTTGTTATTATAATAGTACTAATTAATATCACCAAAAATTTGGATTTTACTATGCTAACTATTATAAAGAAAAGGGTATTTTATGTCAATTTCTCAAAGACACCGTGTCTAATAAAAAATATTTAAAAAGTTTGTTCTTAAAGTATAAACCCTCGCTCCGTCGACCTTGTGAACTTAACTCTCTCGCGCGCTCTATCTCCGCCACCGTCAGTAGTTACTCCACTGCCTCAGTCTCCGGTGAATGGAGAGTAGTTGTAGCACTAACGATGCCGGAGAGTGGAAGGCGGAAGAGGTCATAGCTGGTAATGCTGAAGCTCTTCAAGCTCTTCGAGAACTCATAACATATCCTCTTCTCTACTCTCGCGAATCCAGACAGCTTGGCCTTAAGGTATATCTATACTCTACAAACACACTTACACGCACTTCTTCCTATCTTTGATCACTGTTTATCTTCTTTCATGTAGTGGCCTCGCGGTTTGCTGCTTTATGGTCCTCCTGGCACTGGAAAGGTATTCAAAGTTCTGTACTATGAGAGTTTTTAGGGTTATTTTTCTACAAATTGATTTATGATCGATCCTCCTTCTTTAAAGTGCACTATAGTTTTCTATCAAACAGCTAATTGACAATTTCAGAAGATATCAATCCTAACCTTTTCAATGAACACTACGTCAAAATCTACAACAAATAAGGAAGTCTACTTCCGTCAAATTGGAAGGATGTAGCTTTTTATTTTCTTTGATTTGTTATTTTTTTGTTGATGCAAGACTAGCTTAGTTCGAGCAGCTGTTCGTGAATGTGATGCACACTTGATAGTTCTCAGGTATTTCCGTTGACCTATATAGAATCATGTTCTGAGACCATAGGATAAGATGTGTTGATTAAACTTATACACCTTTTGGTTGTGAAATTTATTGCAGTCCACACTCTGTTCATAGAGCCCATGCTGGTGAAAGTGAGAAAATATTGAGGGATGCTTTTGCAGAAGCATCTTCACATATCAAATTGAGAAAACCTTCTGTTATTTTCATAGATGAAATTGATGCTATCTGTCCTCGTCGTGATTCTAGGTACATCAGTAAGCTTATACTTCTTGTGTCCCACAAGAATTTCAACTTTATATTTCTTGATTATCCCACAAGAATCACATTTTTTTGTCTCAAAACACAGAAGACAGCAAGATATCCGTATATCATCTCAGCTTATCATGCTTATGGACTCAAGTGCCACATCATCATCAGGGACAAAAGTTGTAGTGGTGGCATCAACCAACAGGTGATAGCCTTCATCAACCCACTCTCTTTCTTTTAGTGGATCCATTGAGTTTTCAACAGATCAAAATCTTGTACTCTCAACTCTTCTTTCTTTCTTTCCTTCTTTCACATATACAGTTTAAAAAAAAACACCTTTTTTTATAACACACATGATCATTTATACAAACCAATATTTGCCAGGGTGGATGCAGTTGACCCTGCACTAAGAAGGTCAGGTCGATTTGATGCTGAAATCGAAGTGACAACTCCAAGTGAACAAGAACGACTTCAAATTCTCAGGGTAATAATATAAATATGTAATATAAACACTACTTTTGTTATCTTGTTGTCAGATATATTAATAAATGGTGTTCATTTGCATCTTCAGCTATATACAAAGAAAGTTCCCCTGGATCCCAGTGTCAAATTGGAAACAATAGCATCATTATGCAATGGCTATGTAGGAGCTGATTTAGAAGCATTATGTCGCGAGGCTACAATGTGTGCACTAAAAAGATCTTCAAATGGGATCAATGAAGATAATGTTTGTAGCTTGTTAATGGATGATTGGAAGATTGCTAGATCCATTGTGGGCCCAAGCATAACACGAGGGGTAACTGTGGAAATTCCCAAAGTATCTTGGGATGATATTGGTGGACTAAACGATTTAAAGGTCTGTATTCTGTAAAGATACTACATTGCCATAACTGTGTTTTGCTAATTACTAACAAATAACAATGCATTGTTACATTCATCAGAAAAAACTGAAACAAGCTGTTGAATGGCCTTTGAAACATTCTGATGCCTTTTCAAGATTGGGTGTGTCGCCAATGCGTGGGATTCTTCTTCATGGACCTCCAGGATGCTCTAAAACTACTCTTGCTAAAGCTGCAGCTCATGCTGCTCAAGCCTCTTTCTTTTCTTTAAGGTTTGACCGTGTTTTATACAAAACATTGACCATTCTTACAATTTAATTTAATTACTTATTTTTTTATTATGTTTCAGTGGTGCAGAATTATTTTCAATGTATGTTGGAGAAGGTGAAGCTTTATTACGTAATACGTTTCGTAGGGCCCGCCTTGTTGCACCAAGCATCATCTTCTTCGATGAAGCCGATGTCATTGCAGCTAAACGGTAACTTTTTTTAAAAATAAAAATGTAAAAAATAATAAAAGTAAACACTGAAAATTTGTTTTATTTTTTAAAAAATTGTGAAATAAACAGAGGAACGGGTTCGAGTGGGAGTACAACAGTTGGAGAGAGACTTCTATCTACTTTACTCACTGAAATGGATGGTTTAGAAGAGGCTAAAGTATGTTGTTATTTTTTTGTCATAAATATTTATCAACAGTATTCGAATAATTATGCTTTTTTTGTTCTTCCCATTTTTCAGGGAATACTCGTTTTGGCTGCCACGAATCGACCACATGCGATTGATGCTGCCCTAATGCGACCTGGACGATTCGATCTCGTAAGTCTGTCTCTTCTCTGTCACTATCACTATCAGTCTGTTACCGTTACTGTCACTGTTAAAATTAACATCTAAGTTTAAAGGTTTTATATGTACCGCCACCGGATGTGGAAGCGCGATACGAGATCCTCCGTGTGCATACACGTGGTATGAAAATTGGGAATGATGTTGATTTAAGACAAATAGCAGAAGAAACCGAAAACTTCACAGGTGCAGAATTAGAGGGTCTATGTAGAGAAGCCGGGATTGTAGCTCTAAGAGAAAACATAACTGCCAGCATCATACATGATTGCCATTTTCAAACTGTTAAAAGCTCGTTAAAGCCAGCATTGAGTAGAGAAGAAATAGATTCATATGCATCTTATATGAAAAAACAAACACGCAGGTCTAAATCTGATCACCCGCATGCATCCACAGGTGACAAAAAAAACCACAAGCACATGAACAGCTGGTTGTTAGGGTTGTTAGTTTCTGTTACAATTGGTGTCATGGGCATCATTGTACTTTCGGGTACGAGAGATTATCTTACACATTTCTTGCAAATCCCGGCTTCCGAGACATTGGTGAGCACATAACATTAGTTTCAAGTGAAAGCAACATGTTTTTTTATATATAATTAAATTTTGTTTCATTAAATTGTTTAGGTTTGATGAAGTATTGACTAGATACCATTCATAATTCATATCACCAAATTTATGCTTTTTTAACGTTGTTTCCAACTGTAAAAAATGTCCACGTTTGTTTCCATCATTGCATACGCTTAATTCATGTTATCAAATCACAAATATAAAAAACTTCACATACATTCAGTTAATACTTAATAGCTCTTGATCATTACAATGGATGGTGTTGTTGATCCTGAATCATCCTCATCACACACCAACTTTCGGGAGCTCATTGATGTCTTCTGTTTCAAGGGGATCTCAAGTGTATGCTCGGGTTTTTGGTTTATTAATGGAAAAAAATACCAACTTTTTTACACGGGAATTCTCTACTTATTGATCATCATGCCACTATACTACTTCCCATCGGTCACAGCACTCAAACGCATCTTTGTTCTTTTACGATGCATCTTTGTCATTTTACAGTTTGTTTGTATAACCTCCAACATAAATCTTGTACACACGGTGTTTATTTTGGGCTCCACGTTCATGATCATTGGTGTTACGGGTATTTCTCTTTTTGTGATAATCGTTTACGGGCGGAGGAAGTGGTATCAAGGGCATTATGGTAATGTTTTGCTCGTGGATCGGATGGTTATGGGTATTTTAAATGTTTTATGTATTATTTTGGTCGATGGATACACAATGTTGTGTGAGTGGTGTTTAAAAGAAGCGAGACATGTTTGGCGAATATCGGGTATTGTGCTTATTGGAGTTTTAGGTTTTTCAACCACAATAAGTTGCATTTTGCAACTCATTGTGCGGTGGCAAGAGTATCATAGAAGACAGGTTCGCAACGACCAACTTGATTGAAGTAGCTTGATTTTAGGAGCAAGTAGCAAAATTTTGGGACATATGGAGTTCGAGATTCTTTCCAAAATGTTTCTTTAAAAAAAAAGAGTGCATGCATCAATAAATGTATCATCGAGGGGAACGAGACTCTGTCAAACCGATGTGGAATTATAATATGTTCTTGAGACAGATGTTCGATGAGCGAGACTAGATTGGTATAATTCAAAAGGAGACTAGACTAGATTGGTATAATTAAGGTGGAAACCTGAATCTCCACTTTTAGTCGGATCTGTGTTTCCAACAATATTAGTAAACTGTAATCAGTATCTTGGTATTTTACATTACATAAGTCTTATATGATCATATCACAAGTTTGTTTGGATAAATTGTGTCTATCATTAGTTATAGGACATGGTAACGTAATGGTGTATCGTAAATAAGACTAATGAGGTGTTTGGAATTTGCTTATTTAGAACAACTTATGTTTTTTCAACAAAAATGTTTATTAGTTTTGAAATGGGAAATGTTGGTGATTTTAGTGTCATCAGGTCGTTTTGTGTAATTAGAACTTACATGTGAGCTAAGGGACTTCGTAATTTGTACTATAATATATGTTTGGGTATATGTGGAGTGCACGCATGTATAAGATCGAATTAGAAGTTGGTTCTTCAACAGGTCGGGGTCCGGGGTTTCTAAAGGGGCAACGCCCTTTTGGCGGGGTCTAGGGGGCAGCGCCCCTAGCGGAGTCCAAGGGGCAAAGCCCCTGGTTGGGGTCCCGCTTATCATTTTCTATATAAACGACTCTCATTTTGAGGATGATTATGGTAAAACTGACTAAGATCGTCAATTTTGGAAACCATTGATTTCCTCATTAATTTTGGATTCTCTTGACTTGTTTCCAAACAAACCCATGACGGCCAACCCTAAAACAAAATCTTACTTATCATTTTCTATATAAACGACTCTCCTCTTGAGGAAAAGACACGGCCTTTTTAGCTCTCGTTTTCTTCATACGAACTCAGAATATTCTAGCAATTTGGTTTACGTTTTCTGTTCGTAGATTCGTAAGTGTCCATTGGGATTATCCTAGGCTGAGTTTTCTTATAACCCAGGCATATGGTAGAAATATCAGTTCGGAAAGTGTTTACACGATCTAAGGAATATCCAGATCTCCACTATAACCCTACCTAGTTTTCTAACACGAAATACACAACTTATCTCGGTTAATGTTTTATTCATCCCCCTATGTTTCATCCACATGAGCACTAAAGAAACTTTGTTGTAAAAAATCATCGAGGGGAAGGGGTGTATTCTTTTGAAAACAATCGTTTCTCGCCTTCCAAATACTCCAGAGTGTACTATAACAAATTCCCTTTAGAGTTTTCCTATTTTTAGGACATCTACCGAAGTAAATATTGAACAGTAAGAAACAAAATATGCATGTGGCCAAAATTGAATCAAAATTGTTCATGTGAAACTCATTACTATGAAAAAAAAAGTGTTTACGAAAGTTATTTATAATTTAAACAAGAATTTATAAAAGTTTATTTAACAATTTACAAGTGTTTACAAAAATAAAAAATTATAACGCCATAATTTTTAAGATAAAATTATAATAAAAAAAGTACCTTTAGTTATGTTGGAAAATAATAAAAATTAATTGAATTTAACTTTTAATACTTTTAAAGTTATTGAATTTATATAAATAAAAGTACGTAACTTATAATTATATTACATTATTTAACTCCTTAAAGTAATGAAAAAAATATATCCTTCTGAAGAAATGTAAATCAACCTAGGAAAACAAACTATATTTTGTTAGAAACAGTTCATTTTATTCGTAGTTGGCAAACAAAAGATTTGTTCATTTCACGATACTTTTCAATTCCATTAGAATTTTGGCATATTTTTTTATTTATTTAGCTGGTTCAGATTTTTTTATTGGAAATGACTAATATATTATAAAAGAAAAACCACCCAAACTTAGATTGTTCAGAATTAATTTATATTTCTTAACAATTTACTAGAAGCTCGATACGAGATACTCCGTGACACGAGGCATGAAAGTTGACAATGATCTTGACTTAGAGACAGACAGCACAGAAAAACAAATCTTCACATGGACGTAATCAGAGGGTTAAGCCAGTAGAAAAAAAAAATTGTTAATTAAATGTTAATGTAATTTCATTAATGTGTTTAGGATAATTAAACCAGTACGTAGATACCATGTATAATTCATGTCACCAGATTTATGCTCTTTTAACGCCATTCATTTCCCTATGCATGATTGATTCATGGTACAAATATCTTTTACCAAATAAGCACACAGCAAATTAAGAGCTTCATATATATACATATGATTTAGTTAATAATATATATCTTGTAGCTAATTAATTACAATGAATGATATTGATGTTGATGCCGGATCATCCTCGTCAGAAACAAACTTGAAAGAGCTGGTTGATGCGTTTTGTTTCACAGGGCTTTCAAACGTAAACTCAGCTGTTTGGTTTATTTATGGCAGAAAATACCAATTCTTATACATAGGAAACGTCTATCTATTCGGCAGCTTCTGGTTCATCATGCGACTATACTCCTTACCACTGACCACACTACTGGAATTCCTCTTTGTTGTTTTACAAAAAATTTATGTAACCTCCAACATGAACCTTGTACCGTTACCCATGTTTATTTTGGGCTCCGTATTCATCATCATTGGTGTTATGGGTATTTCTGTCATTTACGTGTGGAAACATGGTAAGATTTTTGCCTTGGATGATGAGGATGAGATGATGTTTAAGGAGATTTTACATTTTTTATGCATAATTTTGGTGAATGGGTACACGATGTTGTGCAAGGGATTTTTAAAAGAAGCAAACTATGCATGGCAAATATCGGGTGTTGGGCTTATTGGGGTTTTAGGGTTTTTGGCTATAATATGTTGTATTTCAAGACTCATTGGGCGATGGAAAGAATATCGAAGGAGTCAGGTTCGTGTAGTAGCCACGAATGAAGTGACTTCATCATGATTTTGAAATTTGGGACAAATGGAATTCTGGACTTTCTTTCCATACGAAAAAAAGAGTATATAGACTCTTATTGAGATGAAACTGTATCTAGCCGATACAATAAGTGTTAAAATCTTTGAAGAGTTGTTTTAAATATACCGTGTGTAGTTATCAATCAATCATAAACAAACTATATCTATCATAATCTAGCTCATGCAATTTAGTATCATATCAAACTAATTTGATTTTTTAAAATATTTTTTATCATCTATGGTTTATATGATTTGTCTCATATCCCAACAACAGATGTATCCCATGTCGGGTAAACAAGGCAAGTCTTTTCATTGAGTGTGTGGTTGCTAGTATTTTGTTTGATTATATACATTTATGTATGACACATTAATCCAAGAAAGAACAAGAGCAAGAGCAAAGGTAAGGAGAAGAAAGCTGAATTTATAAGGACAAAATATTCTAGTTTAGTTTATATTGGAAGTTGGCACTATTCACAACCTTATTTTGTTACCTTGGTTTTTATTTTCTCATGTTCCAAGAGCATATACCTGCAGCTGGCTCCCGTCCACAGCCACTGCAAATACACCCGAATCATCCGCCACCAAACATGACACTGTGGCTCCTGATTCCACAAACATTAAAAAGATATTTATAGAAATATTTGAGTTAGTTATTAGGCAAAAAAAAAAAAAAAAAGGAAATATACATACCTGTGCAATGGGTGAGATAACCAAGCTTAGCACCTGAGGACAATTCCCATATGTACAGAGAGCCGTCACATGTACACATGATTCCATACCCTGCTGATACACCAGCTACGGTGCTACTGCACACCACACAATTACTTATATCACATCATTTCATTTTATTGTTACCTAATTGTTAGACAAAAATGAATGTACCTTGGATCCAAAGCATTCAGCAGAATCAGCTTGTTTTTGGCCAGCAATGCTAGACTCCAGCATCTACAATCTTTTAATGGTTTTTCATCATTAAGATGGTGATTTGACTTTGAGACAGATGAAACAAGAAGAACAAGAGACAGATCTTCATTATCATGATTGTCTGTTTGTGTTTCCTCTTGTTTCTTTTTACAACCACTTTTTGGACACCTGAACGTATTAATTGGAAGGAAGGAAAGAAATGAAGTTCCTGGAGCTGAAAACTTTGATACCAGGATTCTTCTTGTTAGATCCCTGTAAACAAAAAATCAAAATGTCTGTGGTTCAATTCAACTTCATTTCAGGGAAGGAAAATAACATGTTAAAAATGAAGGTGCTTGCTTACCACAAGCAAAAATCTCCAAATGCAGTATGACCAACAACCAGACCTGGGAAATTTGGTATTTTTTTCATAGAAACTACACAACTAGACATGCAATCAGATGCTGGTAAATAGCCGTGTTCTGTTGCTGCACTGGAAGAGTAAAAAAAAAAACAAATAGGCAAATCAGTCCTTGAATTTAAATTTGTAATGAAGGTGACATGGCATTAGGCATATCTAAAATATTATATAAAGAAACATACCTCCATGTTGAGTTCATGGTCCATAAATTCATTCTTCCACTTTCTTCAGCAACAAGGAGGTAACTAGGTTCACACACTAATATGCAGCAAACACTGTTGGTTGTTTTGAGTTTGCATACTACATGAACATAGCCTAGTTTTACTTGCACAATTTTAACTGCATTCTTCTCAAAGCTATCTGGTGTACATGCTGAAAACTGACACTTCACACCACCCTCCCTAAGAGTATTAAATTTAAAATAATATATATACAAAAATCAAACAACTGAAATATCTACATGAACAACATCTAGAGTTGTGTAGCAAACCTGCAGTAAGGAGATGTGATGTTGTTCAGTAAAACAAGGCATTTCCCATCTGGAGTAAACTGCATAATCTGGTGAAAGAAAAACAAAACATGTTGTATCGGTGAAGAACTGAAAATGCATCTGGTTGGACTATAAATATAGAATACTTTGACTTTGACTTTGACTTACTTGGTCACCAGATGCGTTTCTTGAAATTGGTGAGATAATTCTTGTGTGACCAATGAAACAAGGGTGTCCTTTCTTTTCGCCTTTAATAGATGCCTTGTAAACGAAAAGTGTCCTCTCTTTTTCCATCAGATACCCACATAAAACACATATCAAGACCTCATTCCCTTTTCTTCTCAACATTACCATTGAGATTGGGGTTGGATGCATATAGCAACCTACAACCTCAAATACGTTCTGTAGTTCATCATTATGCAATTTATTTATGCATGAATCATCTTTCACTTCCATATCATCATGAATCATTTTAGACATCTCACATTGAGTTGAAACAAAACTCAGTCGACTTTTTGACTTAGCATCAACTGCAGTGGTCGTTCCTGAAACAATGGATGCTTTACATGGTTGTACTGTACCTTACAGAAAACATGATGGTGAATAAGAATGTCATGCTTTATGATGCATTCCATGAACAACATAACTTCCCAACTGAACACACACAAACAAACCTAAGAACTGTGAAACTTGGAGCTTGGGTCAGATTCGGAACAAGATTACAATTCTTGGAAAGAATCTAACAAGATTTGAGGTAAACTTCTCAACTCCAATAGCAATTTGTACAAAAGATGATATATTGAAGGATTAACTAGGGCTTCTAAGTATTAATATGCTTGTTGGATTTGTGTATTGGAAACTGTTAAGGATATCAGAAGATGATTTATAAACATAAATGGATTGCTGTGCATGTTGAGGGAATAGGGATGATGATGATGATGATTCTAAGACCTTTAACTTTGGTTGACTTTGGTAAAATAATGAAGAAACATGAATAAGATGTGAAATTGGTTCAAGATACGTTTATTGCTGATGACTATAATAGAATGGAACCAAAATGTCAACAACTTCAAAGTACATTGGCTAAATAGTAAGTTGTCAAACTAAGTTTATGGAAATAATGATGAAAAGGTTGATGGGGCCCCTTAAGTTGGTTGATCGTCAAAAAAAAAACGTGTATTCAGAATTGAAGATTTGAAGAGCATATGAGTGTTGACATTTTGGTAAATAGTCAACTTCCGATTATGGTACCAAATTTAGAAAATGTTAGAGATTTGCCATGAGAAATAACATTAAGTTAAAGGACATGTGATTGATACAATGTTGTCTTGAAAAAATCAAAGAGATAATACATGTATATATGCAAATGGATATGCATGTGTATAAGCATTTATTATAATTAGAACTAATAAAATGACAAGCCATATGTGAATATATATGAAAATATATAATCATGAAAAGTATGTTTTCATAATGAGATATAAGCTTGAGAATTTGGAAGCAGATTAAGTTATATGGTACGAATGTATGTATACTAATAATATGTGTCAATTTTATGTATACAAACAAGCATATTGTGAATAAATGTAACTACAAGTCGGTTGGTATTTATGGACATAAAAAAAGGAGAATATGATTGTAATGGTGAAGTGTCATTATAGTGAGATAAATAAAACATGGTATCCTACATGACTTGTAGAGGTATAATGGAGGAATGCCTCTTTCATGTTACAATGATAGCTACTCAACTTCTACCCTCCAATCATGGAGTTCCTCTTTGACCAAAGTTTCTCTCTATTATGTATTGTTTTTCTATCGCAAGGAATGTGAATGTGTGATATGGGACTTTTTCATATTATTAGCTAAAAGAAGGCTCGACGCCCTAGAAACTGGACCTATGTTCAACTTCATCATATGGTAAAATCATGACAGTATATATAAACAAGAATTGGCTCCAGAACACTACCTTCTATGTGACAAGGAGAGATTTTGACATCTGTTAGCTTGGGATCCTTCCTGCTTGGAGATATGTTGCCCAAATCATAAGTATCCATGATTCTGCCACCTCTCTGCGGACTCTTCTCCAAAACCAACTCTACATCTTCATCAGACTTGGTTTTTCTGGTAGTTTTCTCAACATTACATGTATCTTCACTATTAGAACAAACATGGTGCCCTTCATGGGTGCATGATAAATCTACACCACAAGTACTTTCATCAGCTCTATCAGCATCTTGAAATTGTCTGGCCTGAGATGACTCCATGGGTTCACATTGATGATTCTCAAAACTATCAGGTGCAATAGCTGTTGAATCTTCTACACCTTGTTGATTCTCCAGCTGAAGTTCCTCAAAAGATTTGGCTGCCAATTAAGTAAAACAAGCCCCCCATGAAAAATAAAACCCTTGATAAACTGACACTACATGTAAGTTAAAATTTTAATTGTGCAGATGTAATGCTGACCTGGAGGTTCATCTTTCGGACATTGATTAGTTCCCTTTCTTTCCTTCTGAGACATTTTATAAGGATCTTTCTTTTTCTTTCTTGAATAAGTCTTAAGCAGAGGAAGAGCCCGGGGAAGCAGTAATGTCATCATTGAATTGGTTATCTCATGTCCAACTGAATCTGAATCACTCTTGTAAGAATTATCACTCCCAATACCAGTACCAATAACCATCTCATCTTTTGCCTGTGACTCTGTTACACATTTTTCAGAAACTAAAATTTGGGCAGCATTTAACTTTTCATTTATACAACAGTTGGTTTCTTCAGGGATCACCTCTGCATAGAAAATTGCTGTCATCTACTACACAAACAGCCAAAAATATGGTGATAAAATTGGCAATGTATGTCAATACCTAAGGCTGAATCCAAAGTATCAGGTGCATGGAGGTCCAAATCATCTAACATCTGTGAATCTTTTTTAGCTGGTGGGTCACCCTTTTCATCTGTTGTTTTCATAATGTTGTTATTTACTAGACAAGGCTAAAGAATAAGCATTCCATCAAAACACCAACAGCCAAATATATGGTAACAAAATTAGCAAATAATATCAATACCTAAGGCTGGATCCAAAGTATCAGGTGCATAGAGGTCCACATTATCCATCATCTGTGAGTGTGAACCTTTTTGAACTGGTGGGTCTCCCTTTTCATCTGCTGTTTTCGAGGAAGTGGGCTTTCGTGTGCAGGTAGATATCAATACATCAAGCTGTGAAAAAACATTTCTGTGCAACATTAACTAACTACCAGTGAAATTATGTATAATACACCAAATTAGAGCAGAGATAACTGGTTAGGATGACACTTACATTTTCCTGGTTTTTGAACAAGTTGATACCTTCTTTGTTGGATATAAGATCTTTGGAACCAATAGAATTGCTTGCTTCTAGGACAGCAGGACACTTCTCTTTTTCAAGATTTTCAGAAGAAATAGAGGAATCTAGCTGCAGTCCATCTTCTGTTGAAAATAAATGAGATTTATTATCTCCATTGCAAGCCATCTTTTCCAGGCCTGCTTTATTTTCATTTGAATTCGACGAATGCAAAGGAATCCTATTGTTATGATTCTCATGGCCAGTTTGTGTCAGATCTTGAGGTCTCTCTCTTTTATGTTGGGTCCCACTAACTGATTTCACATGAGCTTCTTTACGTTTCTTACTTCTTTTCTCTTTACCCTCGGTTTTAACCAAGTTCATTTGCAAGTCAGGGTCTTTACATGTCTCTGCAGAATGCACAGTGCCTTGAGTATGAAGTTCATGTGTTCCTTCAGACTGCTCATTGCCAAAGCAAGAAGATGGTAAACTTTTCTCAACAATTTGGCTGGCATTTGCCTTCAATCCCCTCAATAACCTTCCAACAAGTGGGTTTTTGAATCCAAAAAGCTGCAATGTTAGAAGAAAGGAATTGCAGTTAGCACAATATGATTAATCACTTAAGAAGAATATATACCAAAGTTAGCACTATGATATACACTACACTAGAAGAAACCAGAATAGTTAAACTACCTCTGCACCATCTATCTTGCATGAAAATCTCTTCCCTCGCCAAAACTTGATGCGGACACAGCTCTTCTTTTGAAAGCCCTCCCATGCAATATCTGGAGTTTGCCCAGAGCAAGATTCCCCATCCGTAGAACTAATCTGCAAAGTTATCTTATTTGTGGATTTCATTCTTGTTTCTTTTCAATAATAAGGGTCCTAGAAGCTGGAAATATTATTGACTTATCCACTCACCGCAAATTCAGGTCCTTTAAGCCCCTCAAGAATTGCCATCTTATAGGTATTCCCATTACACGTGCGATGAGCTACATATCCAACTGGATATGGATGTCGATCTTTTCCCTGAGAATACAAGAGAGTATATATAAAATATTGATGAAAAATACACCCCATCTCCTCAGAAACTAACTTCCAGCAGAACCATTTGTTAAATTAAAACATCTGTAATATGAGGAAGAGTGGAATTAACTATCTTTGTTCATTCCAAATCCTTCTTCCTATAATATTGTACTCATTTTAGCCACTCTAATAAACATAATATAACTTTTTTTTACAAAGATAACCTTTCAATATGAATGTTTTATGCCCTCTAATAGGCTGCTACCTAAGAACATATTCATCAATAAAACTACTTTGACTTAACTGTAACACTATGCAAGTTCATGCTGATCAAAACCGATTGCCCTTAGTGCCATATTTAACCATCTTTCTAAGCTCAATATAAAGCAGATCCTCTATGTTGGATATTACTAGCTCAAAATACAAGTTATACCATCATATTTAGCACTATAGCTTATTCAACTATCCTTGTTACCAAAAACGGAAGAAATAAGACCTATTCCCTTAAGGCCAATATGCGAACAGTGAATCAGACATTCAATACATACATGTGCCTCTGAATCTAACTCTATCTTGTATCCAATTATGTGATGTGGCACGAATTAGTCTGCATTCCAACAGATCATATTCAGGGTTGGTTCGCTAGAAACTGTATCTGGTCTTCGGTTAAAATAAATCAACTATTAATAGCTTAAGATACGGTAAATTTTCATCTAGATGTACTAGATATATCTCTAATTTGTCTACATTTGCCCTAACCTAATCCAATTTGCAGCGGATTCTGCCTTAGGTCAAAATCAAATCCATTCTACGGCTTAATCATGATCGATAGCTCCAAATACAAGTCATAAAATTAACATACAGCTCGCTCATAAATAACTATACATATGAAGCGGTGAAAACGTGAAAGATGGAATTAACAAACCCTGGATGAACTCCAATACTTCTTCTCCCATGGACCTTGATATAACTTTCCGATTGAAACAATATCCAGATCGTCTGATTTCTCGTCGACGACCTGCTCCGCCATTGTATTGTGCCAAGCGAATTACTGTGTATGTTGCTCGTGTGTGTGTGAGAGAGAGAGAGAGAGAGAGTGTGTAAATGTAGCGGGAAATAAAAAAGTAAAATATGGTGTTCGCGTTTCCCTCCAAATCGACGAGATGGTCACACACTCACATGTGCTAAAAAAGCGCCGTTGCCGGGGATCGAACCCGGGTCACCCGCGTGACAGGCGGGAATACTTACCACTATACTACAACGACTTGGTTGAAAGTAAAGATATATATTTCTTAATGTTTCATAATAGTTTTTATTATTCATGCAATTTTTAAGGTTTTTAGAAGGCTTATAGGATATACCTTAACTGCAATTAATTTAAAAATATAGGATATACCTTAACTGCAATTAATTTAAAAAGCTATTAAATTGCAATGACTATTCCACATTTACTACATAATATTTTTAGGTTTTCTTTATAAAGAGTATTTAAGTAATACCATGTACTAAATATATATTTTTTGTGAAAAGCCAACTTTTATAAATACATAAGTCTAGCAATTCACTAGATTAGAAAACAACAAGATTACATGGGTTTTCTAACCGATCAATCCAATTAACACAATAGTTAGACATTCTAAAACAACAATAACGATAAGAAAAAAAAATATTATCTATAATACCGTTCCTCCTCAAACTACATTTGTCAAACAACATTTCATTCCTAAAAAGTCATACCATCCGACACGTAACAATACACACCACTTCCAGCTTGGACTTCTTCCAATTAACCAAATTAATGTCATCCACCCAAGAGAGCTAATCAAAGATGGACCAAACTCTAGGCACCAAAATGACACACCATTTCTCAATAGAATTCTACACCTCCACCGCAACAGAGCAAGTAAACTTCGGATGATTTATAGAATCATTTTCGAGTTTCATATCAAAACCTCAGACTAAATTTTTCATTTTTAAAATAATATAACATCTATTTTTAATAAAGTTACATTCAGGATAATCATTTGTTCATAAATCATTATTCATGAAATCAGAGTTATAACGAAGACAATACGGAATCTCGAATCATAAAGTTGTTGATGTGTGTACAGTCACGCCTTCGTAATCCGATGAGTACCTGTAAAATAATTTATCCACAACTGTAAACACAAAGCTTAGTGAGTTCCCCAAATATCGCATACAACACAACATAACAATCAGCTACGGGTTATCAACAACCTTTAGGACTATCTGTGATATTGTCATATTTATACATATATTTAGGCATTATTTTAATACATTTTAAGCTCTATTTTGGTAAAATGCAAAGATATTTGGTACTTATTACGTTAAAATTGTATTTTTCAGCCAAAAAGGCATTCTGGAAGATAAATGACTAAAACCGACAAAAGTTGGATACTTTGAGGACTTGAGCTGAACTTGGAGCTTACAAGAAGAAAAGATCATGCAAAAGCAAGTCTCGTGACGTGGTCTTATGAATACCACGACGTGGTGTCGAGAAAGATTTCAATTCTATACATAATAATTCACTACTACAAAAAAGCTTATAGGACCCGGTTAAATCAATTAAATAACCCGGTTTTGAACCGGGTCTTAAAGTCAGCGAGTCCTATGTGAAAAAAGTAATATCGGTTTTAAAATCGGCTCCTATCTAGTATTCACATGGGTCTGTTTATGAAACATCCCAAAATACGACCCAAAAATTTTTTGTTTTAATATTACTAAAATCACATCATCGAATGTCATACATACTAAGAACCATAGAATGAATAACTCAAAAGTCAAGTAACTGTGTCAAAAAAAATACTGTATCAATCATATCAAAATATCTTAATAAAACTCCCAGGATAAAACTGAAACTGTGGTGTGTGCCATGCCATCATCCCGAGCTCTTCCCTTTACTTGCGGAAGTACCTGAAACCAAAAACTGAAACTGTAAGCACAAAGCATAGTGAGTTCCCCCAAACTACCACATACCACACAATAACATATAAAGCATCTATTGGGCCTTGCCCACTGCATCAGACCGAAGTCCGGAAACTGCATCGGACCGAAGTCTGGAACTAACCAGGGCCTTGCCCTCTGTATCGGACCGAACTCCGGAAACTGCATCGGACCGAAGTTCAGAAATTGCATCGGACCGAAGTCCGGAACTAACCAGGGTCTTGCCCTCTGCATCGGACCGAAGTCCGGAAACTGCATCGGACCGAAGTCCGGAACTAACCAGGGCCTTGCCCTCTGCATCAGACCGAAGTCCGGAACTAACTGAACATAGCATAGCATAATCATAACTACTAGCATCAACACATATATTACATACTACATCGGACCGAAGTCCGGAACACATAACACAAAATCATACTTGAATCACAAAGACATCAAGCACACTGAACTACTGCATCAGATCGAAGTCTGGAACTACTGCTAACTAAACGGGTCGGCATTGTGGCCGTAGACCCGTTCCTACTGAAAGGAAACTCACCTCGTAAGCTGGATACTGGAAAAACTACTCGGGAACTGTCTGCTGCTGCTCCGGTATCTCCCCGGCTACAATTCCCATAAATATACTCAATCAAATACTGATAACTAAACTGATGGTGAAATGACTATTTTACCCCTGGTCAAAGTCAACTTCCTGGTCAAAGTCAACTTCCAGTTGACCGGACTCGCCGAGTTGGGCCGCCAACTCGCCGGGTCCCTTTCATCCGTTCTCGACCTCTACTCGCTTCTACTCGTCGAGTTTGGCGAAGACTCGACGAGTTCTTCTTCGATACATACATCGAGTCTAACTTCATCCGACTCGCCGAGTTATATGAACAACTCGTCGAGTTCTCCTTCATCATATGAACACGTCCAGTCTGCGACTCGCCGAGTCGTAAGAACAACTCGTCGAGTCTGAAGAACAACTCGTCGAGTTAAAGAACAACTCGCCGAGTCCCAAGCATGCTATTACTATACAGTCGATTCTAATCGATTTCAGTGCTTCCAAATCATAGATCTAGGCTCTTAGGGTTGGTTTTACACGTAAAGTTTCCAACTTTACGTGCATGCATGAAGAAATGAGGCTAGAACATCAAAATAAGCTAAGAATGGGGTCTTAGGGTTTGGAAATCGACCTTGGGTGCATAAAGGCAGCTACTTTGAGCTCCTACAGCTCAAATATACTCAGATCTATGATCCATTTCCTTATAGGAGTCCCAATCTCGAGTTTGGATCCAAAAAGTCCCAAAAAGAAGCACATCTAAGCATACAAGACTATCAAATGGAAATAACAAGCAAGGTACAAGCTTTAGTACCAGGATGTGAGGCTGATGATCAAGAGACTCTGGATCTTCTTCTTCTCCTTTGGATCTTCCTTCTTTCTTTCTCTTCCAAAACCTCCAAACTAGCACAAACACACTCAAGCTCAACAATGGGGGCCAGGGTTTACAGGGGAAATGCTCTAAAGGTGCTGGAGGCTGGGGTGGGAGGCTATAATGACGTTTATATAGGGTACAAACCCTTGAAATTAGGGCTTCATCCAGACAGGCAGACTCGCCGAGTCCCTTCATATGGACTCGCCGAGTAGCCAACTTAAAATGCGTGAACATCCCGACACTACTCGACGAGTTGGGCTACAGACTCGTCGAGTATCCCTTAAGAAAATGAAAATTACTTTATTTAAATCACATACCAGAAATAGGGCGTTACAACTCTCCCCCACTTATCTTAGACTTCGTCCTTGAAGTCTGCTGCTGCTGAATCTATAAATAAATCTGGATAATGCTCCCTCATTTCCTCCTCGGCCTCCCATGTCCACTCTGAACCCTTTCGGTGCTGCCACTGCACCTTCACTAGCTGGACTACCTTGTTCCTCAGAGTCTTCGTTTTCCGATCCAAAATCGCAACTGGTCTCTCGATATAATTCAGGTTGTTATCAACCTGAATATCCTCCAAGGGTACAACCGCTGACTCGTCCACCAACCACTTCCTCAACTGAGAAACATGGAAAGTGTTGTGGATCTGGCTAAGCTCTGCTAGAAGATCCAACCGATAGGCGACCTGACCCACCCGGGCCAAAACCCTAAACGGACCAATGAACCTGGGGCCCAACTTGCCCCTCTTTCGGAACCTGATAACACCCTTCCAGGGTGATACCTTCATGAGGACCATATCGCCCACCTGAAACTCCAAATCCGAACGCCTCCTGTCGGCGTAACTCTTCTGCCGACTCTGCGCAGTCTGCAGTCTGCTACGGACCTGCTGGATCAACTCTGTGGTCTTGAGTACCACCTCTGTACTCCCCATGACGCACTGACCGACCTCACCCTAACAGATTGGGGTCCTGCACTTTCTCTCGTAGAGCATCTCGAAGGGAGGTCTGTCTATACTGGAGTGGTAACTGTTGTTATACGAAAACTCCGCTAACGGAAGATACGTATCCCAACTGCCACCGAAATCTAGTACACATGCCCGAAGCATGTCCTCGAGAGTCTGAATCGTCCTCCCGCTCTGTCCATCCGTCTGAGGGTGGAAAGCGGTGCTGAAAAGGAGACGAGTACCCATCTCGTCATGAAACCGCTTCCAAAATCTGGAAGTAAACCGGACATCTCGGTCTGACACCACCGAGATAGGCACTCCATGCTGTGCCACTACCTCGCGCACATAAATATCAGCTAGCTTCTCGGCCGATATACTTTCCTGAATCGGTATGAAATGCGCGCTCTTGGTCAGCCGATCCACTATGACCCAAATCGAATCAACTCCACGTGCGGTCCTGGGAAGCTTAGTGATGAAATCCATGGTGATATCCTCCCATTTCCACACGGGAATGTCTAACGGCTGCATCTTGCCGTGGGGTCTCTGATGCTCTGCCTTGACCTTCCTGCAGGTCAGGCATCTCTCCACGTACCAGGCTACGTCCCGCTTCATGCAGGGCCACCAATAGTCGGGTCGAAGATCTATGTACATCTTCGTCGCCCCTTGGTGAATGGAAAACCGAGACTTGTGGGCCTCATCCATCAGTACCTG